CTGGTTTTGTGTTTCGCACTTTTGATACGAGGCCTCCTTTCGAAATGATATCGTCGACCGAGAAGGCTCGATATGTGCTGATCTCAAAACGACTGCTAAATTTGGTCCCGTCGAATTTGTTGAAAAAATCATCGTGAACAAGGAGACATTTTCGGTTCGACCGCTGGGTCGGATGTGATCTTCCTCTTGGTGTTTCTGGGCTGGTCTGGGCATTCTCCTTTGGTGATTTTTGTGCTGGCTCCTTGTGGCTTAGGTTGTTAGCAGATACGGTTTCTCCATGAGTGCTATTTACTGTTGCCACATGGCTAGTTGGGATAGAATCTCCTGTATTTTCAGTTTGATCTATTCCTGGAGTCTTATCCTTATCAAGATCGGTTTTCTCGGAGGGGGGCTGTGATCGACTACTTCCTTCTGGTTCATGTTGTCGGCATTGGCCATTGGTATCGTTGGCTGTTGAAGTTGTGGCTTCTTCCCGGTCCTCCTTCTTGTTTGATGGTTTCCTAGGTCGTTTAGTACCCAGTGGTGATGGGGCTGTCTCACACGAAAGCCTCGTGTCATGGCTTCCTAGAACCTTGATATTCTGTTGTTTTTTTGTTCTGTCACTGCAGTGATTGCTTGAGGTCTGGTTATGATCTCTTGTCGAGTTGTCATGTTTAGGTGGACCTCCTGACTTGCCTCTAGTAGGAGCTAGATGAGCACTAAGGCGCCGAGGGGAGTACAGCTGGTTGTTTTCAGATCTAGCGGAGGAACCAGGGATACTAGGAATAGGTATACTCTGCACTTCAACCTCATCCTCAGGAGGGATCATGTACGCAGACTCCTCGATGACTTCACTTTTAGATCCTATTCCCTCGATAACAAATTGTTCTTCCTCGATGAAAACCTGCTTGCTTCCTTTTGTTGTTGTTCGGCGGTTGTCAATCAAACATTTCATATCATTATTAAAGTGTTTAATTGAGTAATTCAGATAGTCGTAGCCATGGGTTTGTTTCAGCATTGTTGCGCAAATATCGGCATCAGTGACCCTCTCTAATTCGTGAAGAAGACGGTCATAGTTTTTCACTAAGGCATCCACATCCGCCCGTCGTCTGAGATCCGTATATCCAAGGTGGGTAAAGATCGCCTCAGGTTTCGTATCCATAATAGTGTTGCAGATGTTGTTAAGGTTTTTTCGGGAGGAAATTGTTCTGAGCATTGATATATCACTATTGATATATCACTCTCAACTAGGTGTGTCTGCCCTGTGCTAGGATCTAATTGTAATATAAACTATAGAGGCTATTCTCTCTTCGTGGGGAATGGGGATCTAGTTTAAAATTATTGGAAAGGGGTCGTTCACATATTACGTAATCATTTTTTGGAACCATTTTTACCCCCCCCCCCCCCCCCTCCGTAATCAGTTTTACACATAGCTATTGTGTCAAAATAACACTAGCGTAATCATTCGGAACCCCCCCCCTCAGCTGATTACTTACTAGACGGCGCTCAGCCTGTCAATCCGCCAAATTCTCTATGTTTATGAACATAATAGCCTGGGGTCCCCAGGTTACTGATTGCGTAATATGTGAACGACCCCAAATAGCTACGCCTGCTTAAAAAAGGGGCAAGACCTGCTTCGTTACTAAATTTAAATATAAACAAACTGGTATTATAATTATCATTATTAAACAGGATCGAGCTGAGGTATTCTCCTGGTACTTGAAATTTATATACTCGTTGTCTTTTTATATATAATACTTCTTTCAGTTACACCAGCAATGTCAGTTCTAAAATATGTACTTCCAATTTCCAGTGTAGTTATAGCGGTGGCAGGATCAGTTACCAATTTTCTTTCTCTATCCTACTTTGTCAGAAAAGTTGAAAGAACTTTAAGCTGAATATGTCGGACTTTCTCCTTTCGCTGTTTACAGTCATTAGTGTCGCCTTTTATTTCTGCGAAGGATCAATATGTGGCAAGGACAGTATTTCCACCAAAGGTGCAACCGCCGTTTTTGATCTCGCAGTGAACAGTTCTGCTTTTGCTACATGTCTTCTGAGTTTCACAAGAACCATCTCTCTTTGCTACCCTTTCTACCAAATCCAGAAGAAGGCAGTTGGGATAGCAGCACTGATTTTCCTTGTGCAAGAAGTTTTGAGGGTCTTGATGCGGTTTTATTATCACTATAATTCTGAGACAGAGAAGGAATATATGGACTCTCTGGACTTAGACATTCGTGTTATGATAGTTGTAATTTCATTGATAATTGTTGTTAACCTAGTTTCTTCCGTTCTGTCTGTGTGGAAGCTTTGGAGGAACCAAACGAAGCTCGGAGTAACTCCAGTTAACGGTGATAACGAGGGTCCTCGAACCAACACCAGTCAGAGAGCCACCATCACTATCCTCATAGTCACCATTCTCTTCTGCTTCTTCAATACCATCTTCTGTATCTCCTTGTTCTTCGTAAGATATTATGAAGAAAATAAGGATGATATTTCACAACCACAAATGCTGTTGCACGGAGTTCCGCTTTGGCTCGCTGTTCCCCTCAACTCAGCCATCAATCCCATCATTTACTTTATCAGAAAGAAAGACATGAGAAATTATATAATGAAGGACCTTCTGCCTAGATTCGTTTGTTGGTGGAAATAATCCATCAGACAAATCAACTAAGGTAGAATAACGTCGCCTTTTCAATCCGTAAACTTGAAAAAAAAAACTTGAGATCAGCAACAGAGTTCTTTACTGAACATTACGAACTTGAGTATCACCTCAATTAAGACAAACCGAATAAATAAAAAACATGTCAACATTACTTTCTTACAGCTTTACAGCTCCATTCGCATTGGACTGTGTCCCAAATGGTCCTTCCAGCGACTAGCAAGATGGCTACTTTGTTAAGAGAAGATAAGTGAAGGTCAGATGAACATAGAAACCGATGGGGTTGCCCCCCCCCCTACAGTTTCCTTTACACTTCAAATAACAGGCAGGACTATAAAACTCTTTAAGGATAGAAGTCGAGGGAGAATCTCACCGCCTGAAGGCAATGCCTGTGACGTTGTAGTACGCGATGGAAGAAGAAAAACACACCAATTCTTATAGAGAAGATAGATAGTATCCAGAATCCCCGATCAGTGCAAATCTTCACTTTAAAAATCGTACCTTGGTTTATATCCCCGCTTGTGAATTTGGATTAATTTATTTTGAATCTGTTAAAACTAATCAGCGTTGATCAGAGAATATAATTAGCTAGGGGGGAGGGGGGTCCACTCTCCACTTCCCGAGCAGATCAATAATGCCTACCATCTACCATTCACCTCAAAATAGTTACTGGTAGGTGGGTCTCCACTCTCCACTGGGGGGGGGGGGGGGGGGGGAGGGGGGTCCACTCTCCACTTCCCGAGCAGATCAATAATGCCTACCATCTACCATTCACCTCAAAATAGTTACTGGTAGGTGGGTCTCCACTCTCCACTGGGGGGGGGTGGGGGGAGGGGGCACTCTCCACTCCCCGAGCAGATTGATAAAGTACCAGTTCATAGGGATGTGCTCCAAAATATTTTGTATACACCATTTGAAAAATACAAGTATAAGTTCGCACGTAGATTTAATAATTTAGGTCATCAAAACGTCTCCTAACACGTTTTGAATCCCTTTTAAAGAGTTAAATATAATAAGTGTACTTCAGAATATAGATGAGAGTAGATTAAACTATTGATACAGGCACTGACCAGACGAGCACTTCTGCTACATCTGGCAACTTATCTTACCTAGAGCTGAACACTGAGACGTGTCTCCGCCAGCACTGTAAGTGTTGTCAGGGCACGGTTCACAGATAGATGAACCAAGGCGATCCCATAGCCGTTAAACTTATCCCGTCACATAATACTAGAGGGAATGTAAAATTAATGAAAAAAGGAATTCTTCTAAATTAAGGTTTCTGTCGCTTGTAATGTAGTTACTACTGGGGGATGAGACTATCATTAAATATCCCAAATAAACTATTATCCAAAAGCTGCGATAAGTTGCCGCTGTTTTGATGAGCGATTCTATTGGCGAAAATAGACAACACTTTGATAATTTTACTTTTGAGTTCTTATATAGTTGATGATAATACGCGCATGATGCTCTCAGTTTCTCTGCTCTACAAGAAAGGAGGGGAAATCATCCTTTTTCTGATGGGAAAAAGAGTGTTATACATATTTATGAAGCGCAAAGTCATGCTCAAACTATAAGAGTAAGGGGTCGTTAACATATTACATAATACATGATGGGAGGGAGAGTCGGAGGGGGTTTCTAAATGATAACGCTAGTGTAACACAATAGCTATGACATGTAAAACTAATTATAGAGGGGAAGAGGGGGTTAAAAATTGGCAGAAAGTGATTACATAACATTATGACCCTTAAGCTCTGCTACAGATAGCTACGATCTACAAGAGCTATTGGCATTAGAAAGAACAGAAAGCACAAAGCCATGCTCAAACTACTTCTATACCTTCGTGCTTTGGCCTACAAGAGATATTAGTATTACACAATAACATTAGTGTACGTTCGCAAAGCAGGCCATTTTTCGTGGCTTACAAGAGATATTAGTATTGCACAATAACATTAGTGTACGTTCGCAAAGCAGGCCGTTTTACGTGGCTAACAAAACGATTAATGTGTACTACTGAAGATATTTGAGGCTCCAAGGACCACTTAACAATGAACGGTTCCTCAGTAGACATCGGTGAAAATCGGTAAAGCTTTAACTAGGAATCGACCTAGGTTCCTAGCCTTAACATTTGTCTTTACTTTATGCTCCCTCTCTATCATAATATCATTAGCCTTTCCTTTATATTACCTTTTGAGTTCGTATTTCTAGAAGACGAAATAACACGTCTTACCGTTAACTGCAAACCGCCAACTTGAAACTCTAAACTTAGAACTTTTTAAACTGACGTTATTTAATTAACTTTTAACTATAAAAGTATAAACTCTGAACTGGAAACTGATAACTCTCATCCCACACTTTGTTTCAGGGTAGACAAGTACGTGTACTCCAACTACACCCTAGGATACGTGCTGACCACTGTCCACTACAAGTACAGTCCCATCAACTACCTCCTCACCTACGCTCAACTTGTCTTTCCACTGGTTTCTACTGCTAATATTATGTTATAACAAAAAGAGTTTCTCCTCAATTTATTTGTGATCACATGATGGAGTCATGAATCGTTGAGAGTCAAGATTTAATCAGAAAACAGATATTAAGCAATATGGTTAAACTGGATACACATTGAATAATATTGCTTTTAATAATAATTCGATCAATTCCCAAATGTGCACCTCCTCCCTTCAGGACTACATAATTGTGCTGCTGATTGTGTTTTACATCGCGAGTTGTACTGTCAATGGTATCCGGAGAATAGGAATCTGGTTCTTTTGGATCAAGGTTTCTTCTTCAATCTTTCTTCTTCAATCTTGTTTGGATCTTCTTGATAATTATAATCATCTTTTCTTGGTTGAGATATGCGATCCTGTAACCAATTTGTAACTTATTTTTAAGTATTCAAGTTATTATGTGTGGACGTTAAGTGGACGTTCACTCAAAAACTTAACACCAAATTAATAAAACGAGCGTAAGGAAAGCTAATTAATAAATAATGGAGTTTATTAAACTGTTCAGATGTTCGAGGTGGTCCCGAAAAGGACGATGCCACAAGGACTGCTGCTTCTCTCTGCACTCTTTAGCTACGCTATGGTGGCTCTCAACCAGCTTATGTTGGTTGCTATGCCAACTTACTCCACCTACGGCAGTCAGCATTACATGGTTCCCGACAACGGTACCATGGTTATAAAACCTTGCGACAACCATGCTCCTGCAGGTTTTATTTCAAACCTTTTTCAGCAGTCCAGATTAGTCTAAAATACGTTCTATTCTAACAATATAAAATGTTGAATTGTTACCGTACCAGTTTTTTCTAATTAACACCTTATCAGTGACGTGTTATTATTACACATTATCATGAAGTGGGGTATGAAGTGTAAGGCATTATCCCACATAAGGTATTAATTTGTGGACCCCCGTTTTTCAGGTGAATGCCAACTAACGCAGCTGGCCTCAATAATCACCCGGTTTACAATACATGCTAACCTCTACGGTGCTCTGGTAACTTATCTTCTCTCCGCATTTGTTGCAGTGAGTCATCCCAAGACTCATGTTTTGGTGTTTGTTCGCTTTTCATTCTTGCTATGATTTTTGTTACAATTTCAACTCAAAACAACGTTTTTTAAAATTTAAAAATTCAAATAAACTTTACATCAATGTATTACAGTTATATTTAGAAAAAACCACAATATCTTCTGTGAGGCAAAAACATGGAAAATGAGAGCTAGAGAAATATTCCTGAGATATATGTTAAATATATGATCAGACCAAGACAACTCGAACCTTCAGCCTCAGAATAATGTAATTTATTTTGCAGGCCTACGTGATTGGGTTTGTAGTAGCAGCGGTCAGACGGAAACGCTCCATCCTGGAGAAAGCAGCAGGAAACCGAGATGCTGAAGATGACCCTCTGCTAAATTTGTGATCAGTAAACTCTCTCAGTCTCACAGTACAACACCAGATCGAATTCAAATCGGTCGAGATTTAACGGAAATTAATAAAAGCTATTCTTAGACATTTCAATGACTGTGCTTAACCATCCGTGAGCAAGAACATTTGTTGAACAATCTTGCTTTGATTTCAAAAGATCTGTCATCCAATTGCTTGCTTATGATAATTGATTTGATTTCAGTACAGTTGAAAAGTTTTGGTTTATGCAGTTGATTTAAATGTAAATTATGCAATATGTTTTTAAAATCTTTTCCATTTTCGTATCAAAGCAAAAAAACTTGCATGCTTTTTCATTTTTATTAAATTAATGCTAAATTGTGTTATCGAAAAGTTTAATTGTTTCGCGAATGAATTCACTCTGTTAATTGTAGGAGATTTGTTAATTACCCTACTATGATCCGTGTATTTGTTTTAAAATGTGATTGTTATTCAAGATTTGTTTAACACAATTATTTTCTGTGACCATGTTTTTTAATGCGCTTATTCAGTTTGCTTTTACTAAAGTTAAACTATACAGATTTACGATTTGTTGACGGATAAAACAGGATCTAAGGATCTTCCATACCACTTTTAATAGAACGCCAATTATACTTTCAGAGGGCCGTAGATTAGTTTATCACAAGCTAACTCTGGTGTTTTGCCTATAAACAATAAACATCGGCGTCACAACATCGCGTGTCCTAAGATGAGGGGAGATATTTCAGTAAAGTATGTACGTGATCTCCAGTTTCTGCGGAAATTGTAATTCTCTACTCTGGAGACCAGTATCAAAACAGTTCTAGTCGTAACCGGTCAACAATAATAAGTTAATTATAACGAACTCTTATCATTGTAGCGTGAAATAATCATCCTGTCCGTGTAGCGCTATGTCCGGGGTGGAGTCCAGCCCACCGGACGAAGAAGAAACACCAGATGAGATGGAATCAGAGACTATGGACGCATTCACCCTGGATGGGGACTCTGCGGACCCCAACTATTCTTCACTTGTCGACACCATTACCACCAGAATCAGGTTAGTTTTTAACTGTGTAGTGAGAAGATAAGATAATGAATATTATATGTAAAAGTATATACCCGCCCTCAAATCGAAAAAAACCTACATTTTAATATACTCTAATCATCTCCCCAATGAATAGAACAGTTTTTGGGACATGAAAATATACTCTTGTTTTATCAAGTATGTCGATCAACAATCAACATGGATTCAGCGCTTTTTGGATTGAACATTTGAGTACGACGTAATAGAGCTAAAATAATGGCTAGAGCTATTTATTATATGTGGTCAATGTGCTGTCCTTATAGAATATAGATGCAAGAAAATCAATGTGGTTGCTTTGATTAAATTCTTAATTTGAATATTAAAATGTTTCCAAATTGTCCCACTTGGATGCAATTGGTGTTCTGACTTCTTATGACGTCAAAGGGTGCACGGCCATTGTTTTAGCGACGCCCATACCAGAGCCACTTGATAGAATATGTAGTATACTAATTGGGTTCTGGAGTGCATGATTAGTCTCAAATGAGTTTTTATTCTTCTGTGAAAGAAACACTAGTGTGTAGATACACTTGCATTAGGATATTTTCAAACTTCAAAGCCATTATTTCTGCATATTATTATTTCTGCATTATGTTTAAACTGTAGCTGATCCGTTTAATTTCCAAACTTGCGAACCTTTTCGATTATTAAATCTTTGTTCTCGACTTTGTATCAAACTATCAACTAATTTCAGTATACTTTGTAATATATGTAGTATTGATGCTGACTAAGTTGACCAGGTCCAACATGATAGTGTAATAATATGTTCACATATTCAGTCAACTCAGTAACATCACCATGATGTGGAATTAAAGGTTTTCTCTTGGTGCACTTGGGCAGTAAACACGATGTTTGGGTACTGAGTTAGCGTGGTGTTCTACAGCTAATAAACTTGCTGCCAGTATTATAGATGTCTTGCTGTATACTTTGAAATAACTCTTCCTTGCCCTAGACAGCCTGGCCATCTCCCGCTCTGGAAATGGTTATTAGTTCCAGTATTATAAGCATTGGTATAATGTAATGGTTAACGTGTGTTTGGTATAATCATAATAATGATGTAGTACAGAACTGTTACACTGACTACAATGTTATTAGCACTGCTGTACGAATTACGAAATAGCCCCACTTTAATAGTATGCATTGATTGCTGCTCTACTGGCCTTACTACCTACGTCATTGTACGTATGACGTTATTGTACGTATGCCGTATGCATGACGTCATTGTACGTATGCAGCACACAGGTATGACGTCATTGTACGTTTGACGTGTAGTTTTAGGTGTAATCTTTAATTTCCAAGAGTGTTTGTCTAACCTGGATAGTGAATATTTATATCTTTATTCGGTGTGATTATTCCCTAAAAGCTATCTGTGTAAGACCGTGTCCATTGGGCCGTGTTCTTGGAGCCATGTTCACAAAGCTGTGTCGTATTAATGAGCCGTGACCCTATGATCAGCTGTGGTCCGTGTCTCGTTTATTTTAGTCACTCATAGTCATCAGGGGGGGGGGGGTGTCATCACTCATCAGTCAATGAGATTTACTCTCTTGTCATTTCGCCAGAATTCTAAGAAATCTCACTTCTCCTCCATTATCGATTACCCCTTTATCCCGCACATCAAATATACTTTAAAATAACTCTGCTCAGTGCTCAGTGGCTTGTGATAGAGGCGGTGGCTACCGATTTTAAAATTTCCTTCGTAACTAGTAGAGTTACTGGGTTTGAACTTTGATGACACATTACCGCTAAATTTGCCTTGACTTCTCCATGATAATTTAATGGAATTCCTCAGTTATCACTTTTTACATCTCGTATATGTTTGTCTTTTATCTCTCTCGCTAATTGATGAGATAAGCCGTTTTTACGACGCACTGGCTACAGCATACAGCTTGTAACTACTGACGAACAGACGAACAGACGAACTCACGGGCTCAGTGGTACCGACACAGAGCGGTCCTTTTCCTAAAAGCCACAAAAACCTCCCTACTAAAGTAAGTCACTACATTTCGATTTGCAATTTGACTGAAATGGAGACCCAGACTGAGCTAAGCGGTCGCACATATTGTTTCACCACGGCAACTTGCATGGACCTGATTGGTAAACTAGTAGGATACCAGCTCGATCGGGAGCTGAAATCTTTCGGAATGGACGACGAAACTCTTTGTAATCTAACCGTCCTTAAAAAGAAGGAACTACTCAAATTGAACCTTCAAGATAATGTGTGTTGCCAAACACCGAGCGAGACGACTAACAAACTCACTAAACTAACACAACTGTTTTCGAGGTCCGCGAACGATACGGTGACAGATCTAAAGAAGAGCTTAGAAGACGCCAAGGATCTCGTCTCCTCCCTACAGAAGCTTGATCCCGCCACCCACCCCCCACCCACCCTCCCTGAAACGGCAGTGACGGAAACTTCTCACGTTCAAGATATAGAGGAGCAGCCCTTCATCGCACTGGATTCCGGTAGCTTTCTCGAGAGGTTTGAGTTTGAAAAGCTTAATTCTGAACTGACTTTTGAGTGCAGCTTTGCGAATAGGAAAGTAACTTACTTCGGCGATTTACCTTACAAGTACACTGGGGGTTATCACAAGAAGAAGGCCTTGCCAAAGGATTCATATCTCACTGAAATTCTACTTGCTGTGGCGGATATGTGCAAATCAAATGATATTGATTACTCCGAGTTCAATAGCTTCATGGTGACTAAGTATGATACCCCCGACGATTACATACCCCCTCACTCGGATGATGAACAGTGTATAGCTAGAGATAGTAATATTCTTACAGTTTCTTTCGGGGGAGCTCGAGAAGTTGTTTTCCGTCGCCGCCCACCTGGCGAATACCGCAAACAGAGCTTAACTGTGAAGCACGGCGAGTGCTACGTCATGTCACGTAAATCTCAGGATAGTTTTGACCATGCCGTCCCCAAGGTTGATCCTGCTAATTTTGACAGGCCGAGAATTAGTATAACACTTCGAAAATTGACCCCTAACATCCCACAAATCCCCGCCAATGAACCTCAGCGACCCAAACGGGTGTTAGTATTATCAGACAGTAAAAACTCTTCTTTCGACTGTTCCAAGTTTAAAGCGCCCGTAGTTGCCTTCCGCGAAGATCTCTTCCTGCTGCGCGATCTTGAGGAACACAAAGAATCTATCAAATCCTCGGACATAGTTCTTATTAGTGCTGGGGTAAACGACATGAGGAAAAATGGTGTGAACGCCCAAATTTTGCATGATCATGTCAGAAACTTTGTCGTACAGTATCCGAAAACCCAGTTTCTATTTGATTCCGTTACAAACGTGACCATGAATGCAGACCCGTACAATGAACTGAACCCGAACATTAACTTCTTCAATCAGCTTATGTTTAAATGCTCCCTTCGTCATGCCAACATACATCTGTTTGATAACCTATCGTTCGGATGGGGTCATCTAGCACGTGACGGCCTACACTTTAACTACAGCGGACAGAAAGTCACGTCTGATACCTGGGTCCATGTTGTATTAGTCTGCCTTGGATTTAGACGTGGCCCTTTACCACTACGTTATGACTTTGTGAAATTGCATGAAGAGTCTCAGTCCTGGAAATGAACGATAAATCCATTTAACAAAATAGTAAAGTTTCAATCTAGAGATCAAAGTATAAATCGTATGTGACCAAATATTTAAGTCTTTAGAAATGCACTGAACACAAGAAACAAAATCAATTTCCAACAAAATAATACTTACTACAAACTTTATGCTCGGCCTTGTAACTTGATGCAAGAGTAGCGAATTAAATGTCTAATCTTCTTTTTAGAGAGATAACGCCGATGATAAGGCGACTTACATTAAAAAGTAATTAAGTACACGTAATTTGCCACACGCGATTCCGGTGCCATGTACTCGGCACTGAAATACATTGTACACACTCTGCACTATGCAGATACACTGACAGACACACTGACTAGTGACTTACAACAACACAAGCAAGCTGTTGCCAAGTGCAACATAAAATGTCTGAATCTCTACGGTTGCTAGGTAACCAAAAAGTAGAATTTTCAGTCTAGTAAAGAGTAAATTGTAAACACAGTTTTTCGTTTTTCAATTTTTAATTTTTGACGATAATCTCTCACACAGAACTGAAAGTTCTCGTTAGATTTATCAAATTAATTTTCTTATTTTTCTTACTTCTTCCTCTCTTTTCTCCTCCTCCTTTTTCTTTCTCTTGGTATATCTATATATAGAGACCGCAGGTATAAATACTTATCGGTGAATCTCGGTAATTGCAATCTTTAAATGTCAAGCTTACCCAAAGCGAAAGTTTGTGATAAATGTAACAAACGTATTCCAAAAACCGCGCCTCTGCTTACTTGCTCACTTTGCAACGACACCAAGCATCCTAAATGTATGAGACTCTCGAAATCTGATTCCCTGCACATAATATCTTCAGGCTTTTCTTGGACCTGTTACGATTGTTTAGCCAGTGCCCTCCCTATCAATGCGTGCCATTCACCAGTCGAGAAGCCTGCATTCGGGCCTGTATTCAAAGTTAAATGCAATTCCTGTGCAGGATGGTGCTATTCACCAAAAAACCTAAGATATTGTAACTGGTGTGGAAAAAGTATACATTCCAAGTGTATGAAACACGAGTTAGGTTGTAAAACATGTTGTGAATCTATGATTCCTGGTTTCAACTACGAACCACACCATCTACTTGATGATTACAGCCACCTACATGACTTATTTTTTAATCCATATGATAGAGAAAACATTGCAAATGATATAGGTAATCAACTTGATGATGAACAGGACAGGGAGTACTTTGATGAAATTTCAAATATACTGGTAGAATGTAGATATAAGGAACAGAAGCACGTACAGAACTCAGGAGCAAACGAGCTGAAATTATTTTCACTGAATATTCGATCGCTGATCAAGAATATTGAACACCTGCGAGAAAACATAGAAACATACTGCAAGTACGATGTCCTATGT